CACAGCGGGTTCTGGAAGCACAGGGGGCCCTGGGAGCACAGGGGGCCCTGGGAGCACAGGGGGCCCTGGGAGAACAGCGGGTTCTGGGACCACACGGGTTCTGGGAGCACAGCGGGCCCTGGGAGCACAGCGGGCCCTGGGAGCACAGCGGGTTCTGGGAGCCCAGCGGGCCCTGGGAGCACAGCGGGTCCTGGGAGCACAGCGGGCCCTGGGAGCACAGGGGGCCCTGGGAGCACAGCGGGTTCTGGGAGCACAGCGGGCCCTGGGAGCACAGCGGGTTCTGGGAGCACAGCGGGCCCTGGGAGCACAGCGGGTTCTGGGAGCACAGGGGGCCCTGGGAGCACAGGGGGCCCTGGGAGCACAACGGGTTCTGGGAGCTCACCGGGTGCTGGGAGCACAGCGGGTTCTGGGAGCACAGGGGGCCCTGGGAGCACAGGGGGCCCTGGGAGCACAGCGGGTTCTGGGAGCACAGTGGGCCCTGGGAGCAAAGCGGGCCCTGGGAGCACAAGGGGCCCTGGGAGCACAGGGGGCCCTGGGAGCACAGGGGGCTCTGGGAGCACAGCGGGCCCTGGGAGCACAGGAGGCCCTGGGAGCGCAGCGGGCCCTGGGAGCACAGGAGGCCCTGGGAGCACAGGGGGCCCTGGGAGCACAGCGGGCCCTGGGAGCACAGGGAGCCCTGGGAGCACAGCGGGTCCTGGGAGCACAGGGGGCCCTGGGAGCACAGGGGGCCCTGGGAGCACAAGTGGCCCTGGGAGCACAGCGGGCCCTGGGAGCACAGCGGGTCCTGGGAGCACAGGGGGCCCTGGGAGCACAGGGGGCCCTGGGAGCACAGCGGGTTCTGGAAGCACAGGGGGCCCTGGGAGCACAGGGGGCCCTGGGAGAACAGCGGGTTCTGGGACCACACGGGTTCTGGGAGCACAGCGGGCCCTGGGAGCACAGCGGGCCCTGGGAGCACAGCGGGTTCTGGGAGCACAGCGGGTTCTGGGAGCACAGGGGGCTCTGGGAGCACAGGGGGCTCTGGGAGCACAGGGGGCTCTGGGAGCACAGGGGGCTCTGGGAGCACAGGGGGCCCTGGGAGAACAGCGGGTTCTGGGAACACAGCGGGTTTTGGGAGCACAGGGGGCCCTGGGAGCACAGCGGGCCCTGGGAGCACAGGAGGCCCTGGGAGCGCAGCGGGCCCTGGGAGCACAGGAGGCCCTGGGAGCACAGGGGGCCCTGGGAGCACAGCGGGCCCTGGGAGCACAGTAGGTTCTGGGAGCACAGCGGGCCCTGGGAGCACAGGGGGCCCTGGGAGCACAGCGGGTTCTGGTATTACAGCGGGCCCTGGGAGCACAGTAGGTTCTGGGAGCACAGCGGGCCCTGGGAGCACAGGGGGCCCTGGGAGCACAGGGGGCCCTGGGAGCACAGCGGGTTCTGGGAGCACAGCGGGTTCTGGGAGCCCAGCAGGTTCTGGGAGCACAGCAGGTTCTGGGAGCTCACCGGGTGCTGGGAGCACAGCGGGCCCTGGGAGCACAGCGGGTTCTGGGAGCACAGGGGGCCCTGGGAGCACAGGGGGCCGTGGGAGCACAGCGGGTTCTGGGAGCACAGCGGGTTCTGGGAGCACAGGGGGCCCTGGGAGCACAAGGGGCCCTGGGAGCACAGCGGGTTCTGGGAGCACAGCGGGCCCTGGGAGCACAGCGGGTTCTGGGAGCACAAATGGCCCTGGGAGCACAGGGGGCCCTGGGAGCACAGCGAGTTCTGGGAGCACAGGGGGCCCTGGGAGCACAGTAGGTTCTGGGAGCACAGCGGGCCCTGGGAGCACAGGGGGCCCTGGGAGCACAGCGGGTCCTGGGAGCACAGCGGGTCCTGGGAGCTCACCGGGTTCTGGGAGCACAGGGGGCCCTGGGAGCACAGGAGGCCCTGGGAGCACAGCGGGCCCTGGGAGCACAGGAGGCCCTGGGAGCACAGGAGGCCCTGGGAACACAGGAGGCCCTGGGAGCACAGGGGGCCCTGGGAGCACAGGGAGCCCTGGGAGCACAGCGGGTTCTGGGAGCACAGCGGGCCCTGGGAGCACAGGGGGCCCTGGGATCACAGCGGGTCCTGGGAGCACAGCGGGTCCTGGGAGCTCACCGGGTTCTGGGAGCACAGGGGGCCCTGGGAGCACAGGAGGCCCTGGGAGCACAGGGGACCCTGGGAACACAGGAGGCCCTGGGAGCACAGGGGGCCCTGGGAGCACAGGGAGCCCTGGGAGCACAGCGGGTTCTGGGAGCACAGAGGGCCCTGGGAGCACAGGGGGCCCTGGGAGCACAGCGGGCCCTGGGAGCACAGGGGGCCCTGGGAGCACAGCGGGCCCTGGGAGCACAGGGGGCCCTGGGAGCACAGCGGGCCCGCGCCCCCCCCCCCCTTTTTTTTTAAATATATTTTATTGATTTTGTACAGAGAGGAAGGGAGAGAGAGAGAGAGAGAGAGTTAGAAACATCGATGAGAGAGAGTCATCGATCAGCTGCTTCTTGCACACCCCCTACTGGGGATATGCCCGCAACCAAGGCACATGCCCTTGACCGGAATCGAACCCGGGACCCTTCAGTCCCCAAGCCGATGCTCTATCCATTGAGCCAAACGGATCTCGGCCCTCCTGCACCCTTGATCCCCAGGCAGACTAAGCCAGTTTCAGGGATGCCCGCTGACCTAAGCCCTCCAGGCGCCCACCTGCTCAACCCGCCTCCTCCTTAGTCCCCCACTGGTCCCCCCTGAGTGCTGGGGGGAGGGGAAGGGACAGCACCCTTGGGAAGGTGACTCCCCAGAACCTAGATGGAGCCTCACAGACGTGGGAAAGTCCTGAGCTGAGCGAGCATCAAACCCTGTTCCAGGCCAGGTCTGCAGTCTTGCCCGGTGCCCGGTGCCCCTGCGAGGCATTCACCTTGCCAGGGAAGTGAGCCTGGGAGGGGAGGTGCGGGCTGGGGGGTGTCAGGGAATCCCCAAGGGAGAGCTGGCCACACTCCCCTTGTACACACACACACACACACACACACACACACAGGCGCACAGGCGCACAAACACTGCAGAATGGCCCGGGAGCTTCTGGCAAATGGCCTTGGCCTAACAACCTCGTTTTGCTGATTAGCCTGGGACATGGGTAGGACCTACCTGGGCCTGAGATCCGTCCTGCAAAAGCAAGGCGAGCAGTGAGACCCGCCTCCCCTCCCCTCGCACCAGCATCTCCGAGTGAACACACGCCGCTCCTGAGCGCAGGCGTGCTCACACGTGACCGGCCTCCCCCAGGAGAAGGCTTCCTCCGAGGGCACCTGGCACAGCTCAGTGCTGCCCCCTCACCTCCACACACACCTTCACACCCAGTTCCTGCCTGACTCCCGCCCAGGGGCCCACAGCGCCCACACCCCCTCAGCTTAGGAGGCGGCTGGTGGGGAGTCAGCACGGCAGCCCGGCTCCAGCTGCTGCCTGTGGCCTCGCTGTGCCACTGGCTCTAAGATTCAGCCCCTGCAGAGCCCGCCGAGGCCACACCCTGCCCCCTCCCTCCTAGCCTGCAGGGAGGCCAGGCTGTGACACACACTCGGGTCCACTTGGGCCTAAACAGAGAAATAAGCATGCATGTGAGGTCGCAGGAGCACACACACACACACATGCAGCCAGAACAGACACATGTGTGCACACCTGGCCCCACCCATCATCTTGGAACCTGTGGCCTGAAGACAGGACAAGCAGGAGGGGAGGACTGTGGCTGCTGGGAGCCCCGGGAGCCAAATGCTCAGGGGAGAGCTCCCTGAAAGGAGAGGGGGCTCAGGTATGGGGTGGGGCTGGGGTGCCAGGCGCAGGATGTGAGCCAGAAGAGAGGAAGGAAGGGCAGAAATGGCACCTACCTTGGGGGCTGCAGGGCAGCGGACAGGAACAGAGCCTCCCCTTTACCAGCAGAGCTGACTTCCGGAAACTTCCACAATGCCCTGGCCCCTCCCGCCCAAGGCCTCCCCACACCCTCACTCAATGCAGCCCAGGGAGCAGCCTCCAGGGCCCAAGCCTCGTCTTCATCACCCAGTTCCCCCTTCCCGCTGCCCCCGGCCCCGGCCCCGGCCCCCGGCTGAGGGCTGAGGACCTCCAGTGGACGTGGAGCCAGGGTGCAAAACCATGTGTTTATTTTTATTAGAAATGTTCTCGGTATAAAAAACAACCATGCGCTACACATTGTCATCAAGAACCATCACCAGACACCCAGGCACTGAACTCCGTGTCATCGGCAGGAGGGGCAGGCGGGCAGGCGGGCGGGCCACGCAGCGGACGCGGGGGCAGGCGGGCGGGCTGCGGGCCACGGGACGCACAGAGGCCACCAGGAGACGCAGCACTTTGCAACACACTCGGGACTGGTTTTTGTCTGGCTTTTTTGTGTTTTGATATTTTTTTTCCTTTTTTCTCTTTTGTGACATGGAAGACTTAGTGATGGGAGAAGGTGGCAGGGAGGCGAGAGCAGAGGCTGGTCGTAAGTGCAGGAGGGGTGGGGACAGGCAAGAAAAATGCACGGGAGGAGAGACCCGGAGGAGCACAGGAGAGAAACGGGAGACAGCTGGAGACGCGCTCATGAGCGAGACGCAGAGGCGGAGGAAGAGACGGAGAAGCAGAGCGCACAGATGGAGACAGACGCAGAGATGAGAAAATAAAGAGGATGGAGACAAATGCAGAAGGTCGCCTGTGGGACAGGCAGGGACAGAGGGACCGCACGGGGCCCACGTAACCGAGCCCCTGTGATTTGGGGCCAGGAGGGGCCCTGGGCCAAGACGCAGGCTCTCGGAGTGGCAGAAGCTGCCCGCCCCTGGTCCTCCTCCTGGCGCCCACCCGGCTTGCCCAGGCCACCCAGCAGCGACCACTGGGGCTCTGTGTCCTCAGCACCAAGCCACATCCGCGGGTGTCCACGGGCAGGCAGGACATCAGCTGGGCCCCGGGAGTGGCCCTGGCTCGACGCACCATCACGAGGGTCTCGGGTCCTCCTCCTCCGATCGGCTCTGGCTGCCTCGCTAGATTGCGTGGTTGGTGTAGGTGACGTAGGTCTGTTTGGTGGCCAGCACTGGAGGGAGAGACGGGGTAGCCAGGAGTCAGAGGCTAGCTTCTCCACACGCCCCCGTGCCCACACTGCCCGCCGGGGCACCAGGTCCAGGCCCCAGAGCAGAGTGGTCCGCCTTCGCCAGCCTGTCACCAACCCCCTGCCCTGGGCCGCCTCAGCTCCTCCTCCACCGTCACACCTCAGCTTGGCTGGGCTTCCTGCGGGGAGCGCCCCCTCTCCACCTATTGCTCTAGATGAGACCCCCCCTTGCAGTGCTCCCGCCCAACCCCCGTGAGGATCTCCCAGGGGCCCCTGCCACCTCCGGACTCCACCACACTTTAAAAGAATCACTTTTATCTGTGATATAAATGTATATTTTTAAAGCTCCATTGACCCTTAACACGTGTTTGAACTTGAGGGTCCGCTAATATTCTGTTGGCTTTCTTGTTTTTGTCTAGTTTTGTCTGGAGTAAATGCTACGGTGTTTTCAATCCGCGGTTGGGAGTCTGGGAAACGGGGTGCACGCACTGGTCCTCGGCAGTTTACGTGGGCGGAGCATCTGCGGGGCTGGTTCCCACGGAGGTCCTGGACCGAGCCCCCGAGGACCCCCAGGGACAACTTAAGTTTTGGGGGTCAAAGTCATATGGATATTTTTCGACTGCATGGGCGTTGGCACCCCAAAGCCCCCCGATATTCCAAGGTCGACCACATTATCAAGGGAGGTTTACCAGAAGTCCCACCGCACATTCTGGAAGAGCCCAGGCCAAGAATACACAGGGGCTGGCGGCCTACGGGAAGCGAGTGGGGACAGGACAGAGGAGAGAAATAATGGGATCAGACAGGGCCCTTGCTAAGCGAGACACTGAGGCCTCTGACTGACTGGGCCTCTCCCCATGGAAGAGAGAAGTTCTTAGGTCTCCTCCCTGTATCCACCTCCCATTCTGGGTGCCCTGTCCTGCCTGAGCCTTGGCCTCCCTTATCTGCACCCCTCACGCTGGCCCTCGCTCACCCTCCCCCAGGCCCCAGAGGGAGCCCCATATCTGGGCAGCTCCCATTTCCTGGCCACAGCCTTCACGGGTGACATCAGCTGTCACCTCACCGCAGCCCAGTGAGGAACTGAGCCTGAGGGGTGGGCTGGCCAGGTCCTTGGTTTTGTCTTGTCCTGCGAGCGAGCATTCAGGGTCTCCCTCCGTCGCCTGGGGGGGAACCCCAGAGGACAGCAGTCAAGGGCAGAACAGTCAGACAGATGCCTCAAAGGGGAAGGAGGCTGCATGGGAGAATATCACAGTGTCACTTGTCATAAAGCAGGACCCTGTCCATCAGGGCGTCTGGCCTAGAGAAGGGGACGTTGAGGGGAGTGGAGTGGTGAGCTGCACTGTCCCCTCAGCCCTCTTTCCCATCTTTGTTGGACTCACGACAGCCGAAGTTAAGGACTACATTGCCCAGCTTCCCTCACAGCAAAGCCGGGCCCTGCGTGACGGCATTCCTGCTGACACGGGAGGGGAAGGGCTGAGTGCAGCTTCCATGTCATTTGATTAAAACTGGTTGTTTCCCCTGGACCTCCTCTCTTTCGCCTTGCGTGGGCGAGCAGACAGGGAAAGCCTCTGGCCTCAGCCATGAGGACGAGGACATCCCTCTCGGAGCCGATGGAGCAACAAGATGGAAGGAGCCTGGGTGCCCGCTCCTGCCACCACCATGTACTGTCATACCAGACAGAAACAACCATGGTCTGACTGAGCCACTCTGTTCGGGGCCTTTTTGTCACCGCAGTGCACCTGGAAGCCCGCTGACACAGGCAGGACCGCCGAGTCCCGCTCTCAGGTCCACTGGGTGTGGGAAGAACCAGGGCGGGGTGAGCAGAGGGGCACACGGGGACCAGAGGGAGGCCCGAGGACAGCTGAGGAGGAACTCTCCTGGCCAGAGCTGAGAGGGGAGTGGGCGCCCTCAGGCGGTGGGTGGTCTCTCTGTCAGCAGAAATGTTAAAGCAGATGAGCAATTGCCAGGTGGGCAGCCCCAGGGAGGTTTCAGTTTTAGGTGCCACCCAGACAGGTGCTAATGGGAGGAAATGGTGCCCCTGGCATCCAGGACCAGAATAAGAGTGCGGCACAGTAACGTCTAGGTTACAAAGAAGCCCCACCTTCCCCTGGAAAATGTCCACCCCGCTCAGCGTGCTGGGTGACCGAGAGGGAGGGAGGGCCACGGGTGAGTCCGTTTTAATGGAGGCCCAGACAGGGGGGCCTGGGTGGGTGCCCTGGGGAAGGGAGCTGAGGGAGGCGGCTGGAACCCCGACATGTCGCGCTGCTGAGAGAGAGGTGGTGGGGGGACTAGCAGATCAGCACTCTGGAGACAGCCTCCGACTCCTCGGGGACCCAGTGCTCCTTCCCTGGCCTGCGAGGCCTCAGCTTCCCCCCTGTAACACCGAGCGGGGGCCGTGTCTGCCTGGCTTCTTTTCCTGAGGGAACCCCCACCCCACCCGATCCCTCACCGGCAGAAAAGAGCCCCAGCCTACTCTGAATCAGGCCCTGCAGGCCAGCGGGAGAGCAGGCTCCGTCACCCGGGGGAACTGAGAAAATTGTTTCCGAAGCTGTCCCCGCCAGCAGCTCCAGCCCCCAGGGCAGCCGACCGCCCCCACTGGCTGCAGGGAGCCGGGAGCCTGAGGCAGCTGACGGCCAGCGGGGAGGGGAGTGGGGTGGGGGAATAGAAGTGGCCGGGGCCTGAGGGACAGGCGGCCCCTGTGGGCCCTCTAAGACCAGAGCTGTTGCCAACAGAAAAGCCAGCCCGTGGACTCCAGAACCCGGAAGTGCATTCGGCCCTCAGTTACAAGCCAGGGACCCACGTCCCTCAGTGGAGCCTCAGTTTCACCATCAGGAAAATGGGTCCCCCAGGAGCTAACTGCAAGGAATAAAAGGAAGAGTCTGGCCAGGACTCGGGAGACTTGGGGTCCAATCCTACCCTCACCACACGGGGATCTCAGCACCTGCCATGTGGCCCTTCCAGCAAACCGAACCTCTGGGAGCCTCGGTTCCCGCCCCTGTGAAACGGATGGTAACCCTTAGCTGGCTCCCAGCCACAGGTGGAGGGTAACACCCTTAAGCCTTGCAATGTGGTGGGCAGAGGGGCAGGGCTGAGATAGCCACAGCGACAAGGAGGGAGGACGAGAGGAACCCCAGGGCGTCCTCGAGTCGGGGAAGGGACGAGGGTGTGGGCAGAGGCCCTGAGCCGCTGGCCTGCAGGCTTGGCCGCCGCTGGAAACAGTCAGCTGGGCCCCGGCAGGCTGCGGCTGACAGCCCCATCGCCGGCTCCGCACCCAATCTGCCTGCAATCGGGCCCTGAATTATTTACTCTGTTGTTTGTTTAAAGATACGTGGCCTGCCGGTGACAGCGTGAAAAATGTCCCTGCTCCGCAGGAGTGACGCCTCCCCGCTCCTGCTCACACCCCTCCGTCGGGCCGTCCCCGGATTAATCACCGGCTCCTGCCGGACCTCAGGGCCCCTGAGAGACAGCAGGGCAAAGGGTGCGGCTTCTGGCCTCGCTGCGGGGGCGGGGGGGGGGGCAGCTCTCATCCTTCCCCTGCAGGAAGCAGGGAGCTGGAAGCAGGTCTTCCCTCGCCACACCCTCCTCGTTGGAGGAAGGAGGGAGGGAAGTGACTGCCCCGGTGCCCAGATGCCAGTGAGCAGAGGCAGAGGTGTGATGGAGCTCTCCGTGAGGCCCGCCTGCCCTCCGTGGCCCCTCGGATGTCACAGCACCGTGAGTGCCACCCTCGGAGGGCTAAGCCCCTCACTCCCAGGAGCCCCAAGCAGAGCTGCTCCTGCACTGGCAGGCGTGGCCTGCAGGGAGCGAGCCGGAGTGTGGGGCAGGGAGTGGGGAGGGTCCCTGCTTGGGACAGGGGGGCCGGGTGAGGGGCTGCATTCAAGTAGACATGCAGAGGTGGGAGCTCTGAGGACACGGCCCTCCCCTCTCCCTGGAGGCCCCGGTGCCAGGAAAGGAGCCCAGGGCTGCAGGTGCAGGGACACTGGCCTCTGGGAGGAGCACTGAGTCATTTGGTGGAGGTGGGGTGGCAACAAGCAGGGGTGCTTCAGAGCGGGGTACACTACTCCGCAGAGAACGGGGACCCCGGAGACAGGGAGGCCATATGAAGTGAGGGTCATGGAGCCAGGCAGCCACCACCGAGCTGTGTGCCTTCAGGAGAGTTCCTCACCCTCTCTGAGCCTTAGCTGGGATCAAACCTCCAGCCCTACCCAGGCCTCAGAGGATGCTGTAGAGTTCACAGTGAAAAACCCCGCATGGGTGTGGGCAGGGGTGTGGCTGGTGCTGAGAAGGAGGGACGACACTCCACCCAGAGCCTGAGGCAGGGGCCCGTCAGAAGCCCAAACACGGGAGGGAGATCTGTTTCCCCTGATCTAGCCCGCCTCCCTCCTGCTGCCCTCGACACCGTCCCCGCGCCTCCCCAGCACCCGAAGGAGGAGCGGAGGGCTCACGCCGGTCCCACCAGGTCCTGATGTCCCCAGACTTGAAGGGAGTGGGAGGCAGGAGGAGCAGCCATTTCACAGGGCGGCCAGGGCGGGAGCCAAGGTCTGCAGTGGGGTGGGGCGGCCACAGCAACCCCCACCCCCACCCCTACCCTAAAGCAAGGCCCATGGAGGCCCCACCCCGCAGGGTGAGGCTGTCCCAGGAGCCAGCGGGCAGTGGGGACAGTGGGGGGTCAGGGCCGGCCCGCCACCTGCTGGCTGTGTGACCTGGGTCGCCCCTTACCTTCCCATGCCTCTCTCCTCTGTATCACACGGATGACAAAACACCTCTTTCAACATCGCTGTGGGGACACTGACCACGGACAGGCCTTCTCCCACCTCACCTCCTCTCACAGGGACCGGGAAGCTGGCGAAGCGGGTGCCCCGCTCCCTCCCAGGCACAGGCCTTCACCAGCCTGAAGGACTGTCCACCCGCCCGCCCTTGGGCCTGCCCCCAGATGCCCCGTTCTCTGCTGCCTTCCCTCCCCTGAACCCCTCAAGGACCCTCTGCTGTGAGGTGCCCCGGACAACCCCCAGGGCCATCCTGCTCCCTGAGAACTTTGGCCTCTGGTGGCCCCTGCCCACCCCACCCCTCGCTCACCCATCAGGGCCCAGGGCCCCAGTCCCCACCTCGAAGGCCCTGCCAGGAGGTGGCAGGCTGGTGCCAGGGCCACGGCCCCCAGCTTCCCAAAGGGCCAGAGGCAGGGGCCTCTACACCACCTTCTCCCAAGGGGCTGACGGTCACAGGGCAGAGCAATCGGGGCCTCACATCACAGTCCCCATGGCCTCCCTCCAGGTGGGGGGCACAGACCCCTGAAAGGGCAAGGACAGGGTGGGCATGGGCTCCCAGGACTGCAGCCTGGGGTTCTCCTGGTGAGGGGCGAGATGGGGGCTGGCCCTCTCCGGGAAGGGGCGGGGCCTGGGCAGGTGGGGGGAGGGGAGGGGAAAGGGCGGGCCGGCACTCACCGGGGGCCTCGAGGTTCTCGCAGAGCTCAGACTTGGCCTCGCCGTTGGGCCGGAAGCCGGCCTTCTGCGTGAACTTGTTGGACATGGTGGCGGCGGTGACCACGGCCTTGAGGCTGCGCTTGCGCTTGGGCACGTTCTGCTCCGGGTGGAAGAGGATGATGTAGACCTTGGGCATGTAGAGCATCCCCAGCGACACCGAGGCGCTCAGGCTCACCGACACCGTCAGCGTGGTGGTCTGGATGTACAGCTGGGCGGGGTGGGGCGGGGCGGCGTCAGCGCGGCCGCCCCACCTCGCACTGACCCCGCCACCCTCCCCAGGGGCAGACACGGCCGTGTCTGATCCATCCGAGGGAGCCATCGATGAGAGCCGGGCTTTAGACAGGAGCCCTGGATTCCAATCCTGACCAGGTCCCTCCTGCCTCAGTGTCCTCACGCTAGTGCAGGCGCAGCAATCAGTCCTGCGCTTACCTCTGGGGCGGCGAGGAGGACAGACGGACCCTGGTAACAGCCTGCCCGGCAGTGCCCAGCCCGAGAGCTCGGAGAAGTGGTCACCATTGCTATGCACTGAGGAGGGGCCGCCCTGAGGAAGGACCGTCTGGACCACAGCAGACCCTGCTCAAGGGGGGTGCCCCAGCCCCTCAGCCAGGCCTCCCATTCCATTGACGCCCCCATGGGCTACCCTGTGCAGAGCAGCCACTGGCACGGGAGCCGCAGTGCCCACGCAACGCACAGGGCAGCACAGTCAGAGCTCATTCGAGCCCCCTCACCAGCACTCACAGGGACAGACGTTCAGCGAAAGGAACGCCCATTAAAGTGGGTGTGAGCAGTCCAGTCTTCACTAGTGGGCCTTCCGGCAGGCCTGAGGACCCCCTACCCCCCGCCCCGCCCCAGCTGGGATCCCTCCCCGCCTGCTCCCTCCCGGTCCCCAGGCCCAGCTGCCTCTCCAGCGGTGCCCCCAGGTCTGGCCCTGGGAGTTTTGCCCCTCAATCTGCTGTGTGTGGCCTGGGCCCCTCCCCTGGGGCCTGGCTGACCCGCCACCTCTCCCAGGAACCTCTCCCTGGCCCCAGCTCCATCTGACCCCCCGACACCCTCCGGTCCTTGTGCCCGGCCCACCAGGGGACGTCTGGTCTGGAGTTGCTTCCTGAGTCCCCCAGCCCTGGCCTCCCCTGGGAACCCTGCGGGCGCGTCTTCCTGTCCGGGTCCTCGCCATCTCCTGCCCGCTCCGTGAATACCTCGCCCTGGATCTGAAGGCCTTCATCCCAGCCCTTCCCCGAGAGGAGAGAGCAGAGTGACCCCGGGCGGGCAGCCTCCTCCCTCTCTGGCCCTCAGTGTTCCCATCAGTGCCCGCCTTACCCAGACCACGCGGCTCCTCCCCGAGCACGGCTGTGACGCCACAGGAGAGCCGCAGCCGTGGCAGGAGTCGCCCCTGTCCACTGCTCCCCGGGCACACCCCCTGCAGACAGCGCCCTTCCGTCCTCACTGCAGCCCACACCCCCAGCCACACACACACACACACACACACACACACGCACATACACACACACGCACACGCATGGAGCGGTCCCAGTGTAGGGTCGGGAGCCGTGACAAGCCCGGGGGAGGGGACTAGTGGCCACGGGGAGGAGGGGACAGGCTCCAGAGGATCGCAAGAGCTCCTTGAAGGAACAAGGAGGTCCAGGCAATCAAAAGCAGGCCTGTCTTCCCCGCTGGACTGGGGTGCCCTGGGATGGGGTGCCTGGGGGTGGGGTGCCTGGGGATGGGGTGCCTGGGGATGGGGTGCCCGGGGATGGGGTGCCCGGGGATGGGGTGCCTGGGGATGGGGTGCCTGGGGATGGGGTGCCTGGGGGTGGGGTGCCTGGGAATGGGGTGCCTGGTGGTGGGGTGCCTGGGAATGGGGTGCCCTGGGGGTGGAGTGCCTGGGGATGGGGTGCCTGGGGGTGGGGTGCCTGGGGGTGGGGTGCCTGGGGGTGGAGTGCCTGGGGATGGGGTGCCCTGGGATGGGGTGCCTGGGGATGGGGTGCCTGGGGGTGGGGTGCCTGGGGGTGGGGTGTCCTGAGGGTGGGGTGCCTGGGGGTGGGGTAATCTGGGGGTGGGGTGCCTGGGGATGGGGTGCCTGGGGATGGGGTGCCTGGGGGTGGGGTGCCTGGGGATGGGGTAATCTGGGGGTGGGGTGCCTGGGGATGGGGTGCCTGGGGATGGGGTGCCCTGGGGCTGGGGTGCCCTGGGGGTGGGGTGCCTGGGGGTGGGGTGCCTGAGGGTGGGGTGCCTGGGGGTGGGGTGCCTGGGGATGGGGTGCCCTGGGGGTGGGGTGCCTGGGGATGTGGTACCTGGGGGTGGGGTGCCTGGGGGTGGGGTGTCCTGAGGGTGGGGTGCCTGGGGGTGGGGTGCCTGGGGATGGGGTGCCTGGGGATGGGGTGCCCTGGGGATGGGGTGCCTGGGGGTGGGGTGCCTGGGGGTGGGGTGCCTGGGGATGGGGTGCCCTGGGGACGGGATGTGTCTTCTTCATTACATGGGGGTTCCATGAGGGAGGGGCTGTCTAAGCTTCCATACTGGGGGTTCTCAGGAACAGGAATGGGGTTCTAGGTCAGACATCCATCTTGGGCCCTTTGCCCCCACCTTGTTATGGGGGTGCAGTGGGCCCATAGGAGTTGGTGGCCAGGGTAGAGGCCCCCTCTCTGGGCAGACTGAGCCCTGCAGTGGGCACAGACCGGTGGCCAGGAGTCTGGGCTCAAGATCCCACTCTGCCCTGACCCCGTGTGGCTGCTGAGCCTCCGACATGAGTGGAGCCGGCCACACGGCAGGTGGCCCGGCAGCCACACCGCGCCGGTGCTGGGTCAGTGCCTGCTGCCTGCCGTCTTGAATCTAATAAGTTTTGGATGAGGGCCCCTCGTTCTCATTTTGCTCTGGGCACTGGAAACTAGAGCCAGGCCTGAGCACAGCTGTGGGCGTCCCAGCCCAGAGCCTTTCTGCAAACGAAATACAAGGAGAGGCATAAAGCAAGCAAAGCGACGCCCATCTGCTGGCCCCGGTCCTCCCAGCATGGGCCCTGGGCTCCTCTCCCATCCCGGACGGGTGGGCGCTGTGCGCACAGCAGAAGTGGGGCCTGTGGGTGCCCCAGGGTCTGGGATTCCCACGCCAACACAGCCCGGCCCTGCTCTGGAGCCCCGTGTGAAGCCACACGCTGTCCCGGAGGCCGTGGCCTGTTGACCCCTCAGAGAAGCAGAGGTCCTCTCCCACCTTAGACACAGCGGCCTCCCACGGAGATGCGCCTGGCACAGAGGCAGGCGGTAAAGCCAGGCAGCGTGCGGCCCCGTCTCTCCCACCCACACGTGTCCCAGCCGGAGGGTCTGAGCGGCCCCATGCCCGCTGCCCCCGGCCAGGCCCGCTCCGCTCCGGTCCTCTGAGGAAGCAGGATCCCGCACGGAGCCTCCCAAGCCAGTGCCCTCAGGGGAAGGAGGCTGTCCGGCCGGGGCTGGCGGGGAGGGCAGAGTCACCTTGGGGTGGGCAAAGGGCACAGAGCGGAGCGACCTGGCTGTGCGATTTCCTGTTTTGTGTGAGGCCTGGTGGGTACAGAATGCGAGGGGTCTGGGGGGGAGGGCAGCGAGGAGTTCTGCCCGCGCTGCGCTTCTGCCCAGGCCAACCCTGTGGCCACTGGGATCCTCCGCCCGTTACCAGACGGCTTCTCCTCATCCCGCCGGCCTCCGCCGCCGTCCTGGCCAAGCCTGGCCGAGCAGCAACCCCACCCGGCACAGGAGCGCTCTGCTCGGCTCAGGGTAATGCGGCCGGCTGCGTGGTAAGCCCTGGAAATCCGGGCTAATGCTGGCAAATCCAGCGCCGGCTCACCAGAGCGGCACAGCCGGCTCCACGCTGCCAGCACCCGCACCCGCACCCGCACCCGGGGGAGCAGGCACAGCGAGCACTGCATGTTGGTTTGCACACATGTATGCCCACAAACACACACACACACACACACCTGTCACTCCTGCATCTCTGCATTCACACATACCTGAGCTCACAACTCACACTCATCTGACTCAGACACACCTGGGCTCACACACACGGACCCTTCATGTACCTGGTACACAGCCAGGTGTGCATATACACAAAGACGCATTCACACATCTGCACACACACCTGAACACACACGCCCCCTCACACTCCAGTTACACTCACATTTGCACATAATCTGCACACCCATGTACACACACCAGCAGCAATGAACCCCTGGGCACACTCCTCCCTACTCCCTGTGCACACACATGCACACATGTGCACACACGGCAGCCAGGCCTGCAGCTCCCAGGGGCGTTTTGTCTGCGCCTCTCAGAAGCCTGGCGGTGTGAACCCGCAGGACTTGGGAGCTCATCGCCTCACCCTCCTCATGCAGAAGCCCAGGGGAGGGCGCAGCCCAGGCCCCAGGCCATGAGGGTGGAGCTGGGGGTTGTGGGCACACAGGAGGGAAGCCAGCCTGCTGTGGGACCTGGGCAAGGCCTGCTCCTCCAGGGGCCTCAGAGCAGACCGGCTCAGAGGCTCCTTCTCATAGTCAGTGCTGAGGGGAGGGAGCTCCTAAAAAAGGGAGACAGAGGCGGGGGGTGGGGGGGTCGTCACCTGGGGCGGTGGGGGAACTGGGCCCAGAATCTGGAGGTGGGAAGGTCTGCCCTCCGACGGCAGGGGTACACTGGGCGCGGTGTGCAGGCAGGGAGCCTGAGGAAATTATAGCAGCAGAGCAGGGGCTTACCCACCACGCTGGGGGCCTCCGGGGGGGTGTTGTAGGGAATTCCTCAAGCTGCCAGCTTCCCAGAGTGGGGGTGGCCCTGTTGGCTCTGTGGGCTCCCCAGTGGGCTCCGCAGGCTTGGTGGGCGCTGGAGACCCGGCTCTCAGCACCAGTGAGGCCTGTGGCTGCCTGAGGCCAGGCCTGTCTCAGACCTCAGGGCACTCACTGCCAGCCAGGTCTGCTCCTTGGACCCCCGGCCCGCAGGGCCGCCCCCGGAAGACAGGCCACGGGCTTCCTTGGGCCGGGCCCGGCTTCGGAGAGGAGCTGTGGGAGAAGGGGGCAGCCACCCAGACGCCCCTGGGCAGAGAAGGTGGCCCAGAGCTGCAAGGCCAGGGACGGGGGGTGCTCCAGAGTTAGAGCAGGGCCGTGTCCAGCTGTGCCACCCACCGGCTGTGCCCTCAGACAAGTCACTGCCTCTCTGCGCCCCCATGTCCTCGTGTATAAATGGGGAGAGGACAGCTCCCCTCACCTGCGGCTGTGGGTAAGGCATCTGGCATATGACAAGCACCGCCTGCCAGGGTTTGGCGGCAGCCGCTCTGCAGCCAAGGCCTCCTCAGGCGACACCCAGGCCCAGGCCCTGAGGCCACCCCCGGGCTGAGGACTCTCCCAGGTACATCCCGCTGGCCTCGCCCCTGAGCTCCAGGCTCATCTAGTCTGCCGTTGGCGTGATAGCTGCACTTGGGCATCTAATGGGCACCCCAAACTTAGCACGTGCAGGGGACCCCGACGTCTGCCCACATCGGCTCCTCTAGCACCTCCCCCACCTTAGTGCTCGGCACCCCTCCCTCCCCAGCCTCACACCAAAAGCCACAGCAGCTCCCTTCTCACTCACAGCAAAAGCCAACAGCCTTCCCACAGCACTGGGTCCCATGCCATCCGCCTGTCCCCTCCACCCTCCCCAGTCCCAGACCCACACAGCAGGTCACCTGCGTCTGCACCATCATGCCGTGCGGTTGTTACAGCACCTATATGAGGAAGATCAAGGCTCTAATCCACAGTGAAGAAACTGAGGCAGAGGCCAGCCGGCTTGCCTAGGATCCCACGGCTAGCCACAGAACTCGGACCAGGAGCTGCGGTCTGGGGTCCCCATGGTCTTCCACATCGCTGGTCTCTACTTCCCTGACACCCAATGCTTCAAGATAATCCCCCAGTGGGTGCTGGGATGTGGCAGAGTCCATGGGGCCGGGGGGCAGGGCCGCGATGGCCTACAGAGCCAGCAGGAGGCGCGGGAGGGAAGGGCCCTGGGCTGACGCTGCCAGGCCGGCTCCCGGGCAGGGCAGCTTGGGGCTGGGAGAGGGGAAAGGTGCCTGGCCCACCTCCCACCTCGGGGACCCAGGGATCCTGGGAGGGCAGAGGCAGGGAGGGCGGAAGAGGATGAAGAGACGAATGGACAGAAGGAAGGTGGGGCTGAATGGAGAGGGAGGTAAAGGACCATCTAGAAAAGAATGAAGAATGAAAGATGGCGCAGCCTCCCAGGCTCAGAGAGGAGAGAGAGGAAGAGGAGAGAAATGAGGAAAGGGGGGAGAGAAAGAGAGGGGTGGAGAGATGAGGAAAGAGGAGGATGCTAGAAAAGGGAAGGAGGGAGAGGAGGGGAGAGATGAGACAGAGAAAGGGAGAGGAGGCAGGAAAAGAGAAAGGGAGTGAGAGAGAAAGCCCAGAACTTGGAGAAAACACACAATGGAGAGGAAGCTGGGGCAAAGCAGGAACACAAGCACCTCCACGCCGGTGGGAGGCTGCCCCTCCTCGGCTCTCCCCCCCCCACCCCGCCCTCCGCCCACCACTCACCTTGTCCGCAGACTGGGAGGTGCCGAAGAAGATGGGGATGAAGGCCAGCCAGACGATGCAGGTGGTGTACATGGTGAAGCCGATGGGCTTGGCCTCGTTGAAGGTCTCGGGCACGCCGCGCGTCTTGATGGCGTACACCGTGCACGTGACCATGAGCAGCATGCTGTAGCCCAGCAGGCAGATGAGCGACAGGTCCGAGATGTCGCACTTGAGCACGCCCCTGGCGAAGCGGGGGTCCAGCGTCCGCTGGTCCTGGAAGTCCACCACCGAGTGGGAGGGGTCCACCACGAACCACACGCAGATGCCCAGCAGCTGCAGCGAGATGAGGCTGAAGGTGATGGCCAGCTGCGAGGCGGGGCTGATGAAGCGCGGGGCGCTCACCGACCGCTTGCCCTGCTCGAAGATGCGGTAGATGCGGTTGGTCTTGGTGAGCAGGGCCGCGTAGCTGATGCTCATGCCCAGCCCCAGGAAGATGCGGCGCAGCGAGCAGGTGCCCAGGTCGGGCTCGGCGATCATGAGGAAGGTGGTGGCGTAGCACAGGAAGATGCCCGCCAGCAGCACGTAGCTCAGCTCGCGGCCCGAGGCCTTGACGATGGGCGTGTCGTTGTAGCGCATGAAGGTGACCACCACGAAGAGCGTGGCGGCGATGCCCACCACGGCCAGGAAGAGGGGCAGCACGGCCCAGGGCGAGGCCCACTCCAGCTTGACGATGGGGATGGGCCGGCAGCCCGTGCGGTTCTCTGTGGGCCGCATGTCGTAGGGGCAGGTCTTGCAGGTGTAGCGGTCCACCTGGTACTGGTACCCGGTGCAGGGCTCGCAGTGCCAGCAGCAGGGCATGCCCTTCACCGTCTTCTTCCGCTCGCCGGGCTGGCAGGGCAGGCTGCAGATGGAGCGGGGCAGCTGCTGCCCGCTTCCCGGCCACAGCATCCGCTCCATCTGCCAACGACAGCGTGGGGGCGTGGGCCTCAGGATATGCCCCGGTGCCCCGGACCACCCCACGGCTGGCACCCTGTGGCCCCGCGCCTGAATCACCCACTTAGTTGGCTACAAATCCAGTTTCCCAGGCCCCCCAGACCTGCTGAAACCAATAGCTGGATTTAAACAAGCTCCCCCGATTCAGACACACTGGCCTATGAGGAATCCTGATCGAGTCCACAACTACAGGGTTGAAGGGGGGACAACAGAGCAGCCTAGAACAAGCATGTCAGACTCGTGGCCTGAAGACTGTATGTGGCCCACAACAAATATTTTTGTGGCCCAATTAATATAACGATATATAAAAAAACATTTTAATAAAAATCCCATAACTTAATTTTTACAATATCCTGTTATACATAGCTACAGGCCCAGTGCACAAAATTTGTGCACAGATAGGGTCCCTAGGCCTGGCTGGCGATCAAGGCCAATCGGGGTCTTCCGGCTGCGGCTGGGCCTGCCTTTGTTTCACACCACCCCTGGTGGATAGTGCACGTCATAGCGAGCGGTCAAACTCCCAGTCAGTTGAAAATCCTGGTCAGTTGAACTGTAATTTGCATATTAGCCTTTTATTATATAGGATTATTAATAACCAACTACCTACAACGTTTGCTAATTAGTGATTACTATAATTGTATTGCATTCATTTCCCTTACAGGCCTTACACACAGGTATTTCTCTCCACTAACACCAGCAGCGAATATTTTAGCAGCTGATGGCCATGTCATTAGTCTTGGACTGACTTGTTTGGTGTGTGCAACAGGAAATATTTCTCTTTTGGAGAACAAGAAAAATGGCTTTATTTGCATTACCCTTATTAATTTGTGCAGTTACTTAATGTCTGGTAAGTTAATGTTCAAGGAAAAAATATTAATTTTTATTGAAATGTTCTATTATTTTATGTTAACGATAACTCATTTATTCCAGCCCTTTGTATTCAGCATGTCTCTATCGAAATAAACCTACGATCCTATGAAAATTGAAGCTTTTGTTTTTTTGCAGCCACATAAGCTTACACCTCGTTTATTTGGCCCGCGTGAGCCTTTGAGTCTGACATGCGTGGCCTGGAGGCACACGGCAGGGCAGAGCGCGCTCAGGAGGCCGTGCGGCTCCCCAGTGGCCCCCAGACCGGCAGCAGCATCTCCGCCCAGGGGCCTGCTGGGAAACAAACATTCTGGCCCACCCCAGCCCCACTGACTCCGAGCCTGAGTTCTCAGGAGACCCAGGAGATCCGGGTGCCCACAGGCGGGGAGAAGCACGCTGATGGCTCGGCCCATTGGCCTCCTCTGGCCACACGTGAGCTGGGGTCAGCGGAGAGCAACGCACCAAGGCTCACTCCCAGGACAGCCGCTGCGTGCCCCGTTAGTGTCCTCAGCTTGCTCTAAACTAGTGCTGGTCACATCCCACGTCTCAAGGACACGGTCACTGTCAGCGAGGAGCCGCGGGAGGGCGGGCACGCTCTGAGTGTCACAGAAAGTAAGCCAGAGGCCCCGAGGCGCTCCGGGCACTGGGCAGAGGGAGCCGACCACTGGGGAGCCGGGCTCACAGCGTCTGCTCCACAGGAAGTGACTCGGAGGAGGAGCCGATGCTCACAGAGCAGCGGGCCTGCCCGGACGGGGCCTCGCGGGTGCTGGGTGCTTACTCCGGAGAAGTGGCCCCGGAGCGAGGGCGGGTTTCAGAGCTGAGGAACAAGGTGGGGGGCAGGGGTACAAAGATGGCCCGTGGCCAGTGGGAAGGCAGCCACGAGGAAGGAGCTTGTCCTGTGGCGCTGGCCTGACAGGCGTGTGGTCCCCTGGAACCAAGGAGCAGAGCAATGGCCAGGCCGGGGCCTGCGGGGATGCTGAGGCTGGACACTCCCGAGCTCCCGAGCTGGGACTGCGGGAAAGGGCCTTTCCAGAGGACTCAGGTGACAGCGGGCATTCTGGAAAGTTCTGGCTCTAGGGGAAAAGGCAGGGAATGTGGTCACGTTCTGCTGCCAGCTGGCTGTGTGCCTGGAGAAGACCCAGCACCTCTGAGCCTGTTTTCTGTTCCGAGGAGCGCAGACATGAAACCACTCGGCCCTTTGGTAGTTAGGGGGTTTCGCCTCAGAAGTCACAACGGAAATTCTTTGATTTCACAGAACATCAGCCCCACAAGGGCGGAGTGTTCATGTTTGCTTCCCTGCCCACATCCACCCCCAGACAGGCTGACACTCCGGAGGCAGAGGGGGGCAGGGAGTCTCTGTGGAATCTGCAGGAGCAGTCGAGAGGTCCGGCACCAGCCAGAGAGGCCTCCTCCTCGGCGCCCTGAGTCTAGCCTGACCCGTGGCCCCACAGTGAGCGCTCAGGGAGAAAGGGGGCAGGTGTGGTCACCTCCTCCCACCCCAACAGCAGGCCAGCGGAGGGCGGAGGACAGTGGGAGGGCCTTCCCTTAGCACGCTGTGGCCTGGGGCACTGTGCCTACCTGCCACGCGGGCTGTCCTCGGTGAGGCCACTGGAACAGGAGCTGGCACAGCAGGTGCTCAGTCAGGTTAGCTGCTGCTGCTGCTGCAGGACCTGAGTCACTGCCCCCCATACCCCACCCCCACCTCCCACCGCACCCACTGCACCGGAATGAGGCCTGGCTCCATGTGGGCACTGTCCCACGCTGGCAAGTGCCTGTCTGTCTGTTTGTCTGTCTGTCTCCGCTCAGCCCAAGGAGCATCACCATAGCAATGAGCTCCGTCCTGCCGTGCTTGGAACGCCCTCGGGCTGGGTTCCTCAGATCTCTCCTGTCTCAGAAGATGTGGGCTAAGTGGGATCATCGGCAGAAGCTGCTCTGCAGGGCCCCAGGGGCTTGTCAGCAGAGAGATCGTTACAGCAGGGGAGCGGGCACACTGCGGCTCTCCTGGGAGGTGGAAGAAGCATGGGTGAGGCCAGATGTGGACCTGGGTCCCGGAGCCTCCCGGGTCCATCCAGATGTCACACTGTGCCCACCAGAGCATGCCCACCCTCACCCTGCAGGCAGGGACCGCGTCCACGGGCATTTCCTTGGGGAACGAATCACAGGTCCTTTCCCTCTGCGAACACTGCTCCTTTCACAGCAGGGGACCGAGGCCAGAGAGAAAGCCATCATGTCCCCATGTCCCCATGTCCCCGTGTCCCTGTGTCCCCGTGTCCCCATGTCCTGGGAACAGCTATGAGCTGGAAAGTGTGGCGAGAGGACCCAGGGAAAGGATGGCCTCCCTGGGTGTGTGACAATGCTGGAGACGGCCTCTCAAACAGCTCCCCGCCTGCCACTGACTGCCCTTGGCCTTAAACACCATCCTCTGTCCAAACACAGCCCCCTGCGCACCCCGCTGCCCACACCACCTATTTCACTCCAGCGAGACTCTATCCAGAGTGTTGTGCCCTGCGAGTGGGCAGCAGGCCGAAAGGCCCAGGCCCGGAGAGGCAGGGCAGGGGCCCAGCGGCCCTGTCCTTGGGGCCTGGGGCCCTCTGATGTCTGGGAGCGGGCACGGAACAAATCCGAGACCAGGGCTACTCAGGGGCTCCCTCCCACCCCCCGTATTCCCCCTACCGAGCTGGGACAGAGCGAGTGACTCTCCACCCTGGCGTCCCCCCTCAGACCCCCCCTCCCGCCAGGCGCTCACTCGCAGGTGCAGGTGGTCAGTCCAGGAGCCGATGACCTTGTACGCAGCGGAGCCGTTGCGCAGCTGGTACTGGTAGATGTCGTAGCGGCCAGGCGCGTCTCCGTTCTCGTTGAAGGTCACGGGGTTTCCTGCGATGCCTGTGGGGGCCATGGGAGCCGCACACTCAGGTTCTCTGCTGAGCCTGCACCCGACGGCTGGAGCACTGAGCCCAGGGCAGAGAGGCCTCCGAGGAGGCCCCTGCACGGCAATCGGGGAGGTTCCACCCTCCGACCCCGCCCCCAGGGCCCAGGCCCCCTCCCTCAGGCCCAGGACCGCCCCCCCCTCCCCCAGCTGCACGGCCCAGGACCCGGCCGGCAGGGCCACGCACTCCACTCCCACCTGAGAAGTTGACGCTTCGGATGTACTTGAGCAGCTGGGTGCCATCCACGGGGTCCATGCGCGGGCAGAGCCCCACGCGGCCCGGACACAGGTCCCGGTGCATGGCGTGCAGCGCGTGGCCCATGGCGTACACCGCGTCGATCACAAACTGCACCTTCCCCTCCTGCTCGTACGCCGAATCCTGCCCAATGCGCTCTCGGTCTGCAACCAAACACCCAGAGTGGGCGCCCGCCACGCCCGCCATCCCTGCCACTGCTGACCGCGCAGTGGAGCGCAGAGAAGCACAGCCATCAGGCCCAGCTCTCCTGGCCCCTAGCCCACTGCTTGCTCTGCTCCCCAGGAATCGGTCTGGTAGAGGCAGCTGGGGGCCCCGAGGGGTGAAGGGGAGGGCCTGCTGTTCTCCCCACTGTACCCCTGGACCCTGTGCCCCACGGCCCCAGAACAGCCAGGACGGGGGAGAGGGGGCAAGGACGTGGAGGTGAGGACACGGGCAGGGTGGAGGGACAGGATGGACAGATCACCACGGGAGCCCGGTTCCCCTCCTGAGGCCCCAGCCCCTGTGTACAGCATGGCCGCAGCCTCCTCCCTCAAGGCCAGGACAAGGACGTAGCCTCATAAGCCCCCCACCCCACGCCGCCCTGTGGGAGGGCCAGTGACACCTCCCCAAGGCAATTCCCCGAGGGCAGCAGGGCGAGCACTGTATCTGCCCCGAGCCACGGCCTGAGCCTCAGGACCCATGTGCGGGGGCCAGGTCAGGTCGGGTCAGCACCAGCCCCGACCCCCTGGGAGCCCTGATGTGTCCATCCCCCTCCTCCCACACCTCAGAGACAGATGTGGGTGCCGGGCACCCTGCTGCCCTGTGGTCTGCTCCACCACCTCACCCCCCACAGTCGCCACCCACCAGGTGTCCACCCTCCTCGGCCTGGCTTGGGACAGATCCCCAGGGACTGCTGAGTGGAAGCTGGAAACCACGGATCACGGAGCTGGGTGGCAGCCGTGGGCTCGCCTGCTCCCATTCTGTCACTTACAGATAAGGAAGCGAAGCCGAGAGGCGGCCGCAGGTCACAGCCAGCCTCGGGGACAGATGAGCACTCCCAGCTCAGCCCCTCCCGCCCTCCACCCCAGACCGCACTTGACCTCAGGCCCCAGGACCCAGCTCACCCCCGGGAGGGGTGGGGGGAGACCCTGTGTTTAGACACGGTGATGGTCACCGAGCCTGCCTGCCAGGGCTCCGTGGAGCTGGTGACCGTCAGCGTGTCTCCTCTCCCTGCCTCAGCCGCCAAGACCCCGTGGCCCAGGATGAGCCTGGCTCCCGTTTCCCCAGCCTCGGGGTCAGAGCCAAGAGTTAATGCTCAGACTGGACCGTTTGGGGCAGATCCGTGGCTCCACAGGGACAGTTTGGTCCAGACAGAGCCCACCGCTCTGCGGTGTGGCCTCGGGGCTGGAGAGGGGTGGGCCCCGAGCCTGCTGCCCTGGCCCCCGCCACCCACCACGCTGCGCTGCATGGGCACCCCAGCTCCAGCTGTGTGACCTTGAACCATCACTCCGTCTCTGGGGCTTCAGTTTCGGGCCAGGATCGGGACCCTGTGGGGACTAATGGGTTAATATTCACGGAGGCCTGGTGCTTGCCAAGGGCTTCAGAAGTTAGTTAAAGGATGCTGAGGGCCCGCCCGCCTCGGGCTCCGCACAGCAGAGGCTGCTAACAGGGAAGGCTATTTCTAGGCCACGGCCTGGAGACAGGATGGACGTGAAAGCGAACCTCCCAGCTTCCGCAGCGCAGCTGCCTCTGTCCGAGGCCTCTGATCACAAGCTTCTAAGAGCCGGGCTGGGAGAGAAATGCAAAAACCATCCTGTCCTCAGAGGGGCTGGGCCGGGGGTCTGGAAGCCCCACCCTGGACCCCTTCCTCTCTGCCTACCGCAGCCCAGCCCCAGCCCCCGGCCCCCGGGGCCTGCCCCCAGCCCCCGGCCCCCGGCCCCGGGCCCCCAGGGCCTGCCCTCTGCAGCCTGAAGGAGGTAAAGCTCAGCTCCCCACAGCTCCATCCCAGTTCAAAGGGAGCGACTGAATGGTTAGCTAGGAAGCAGGGAGGAGGCTGCGGCCACAGCCATGGGCCACGGCAGAAAGGAGGCAGCCCTCCCGAGGCCACGGTGCCCAGCACACCGGCCAATGGCCCCAGCGGCCCTCGGCCCTCGGCTCTGCTCTCCGTCTCCTCAGGGGCCCCTCCTCAGTGTCCCACCGAAGCAGCCATCCCCCATGGGGCACCTGCCCCTGGGGAACCTGTCTCTGCCTGGGCTGCTGTGGGCCCCTCCTAATCTTCACCCCAAAGCTGCCAGCTTCACGTCCTTGACTTCTGCCCAAGTCTAGCCCCAATTACAGATGAGATAACAGGTGCAGTGAGGTGGCCTGCAAAGCACCTTTACCTTGGAGAGCGCAGCAGGCCTGAGCGAGGGCCACCCCCCCCCCACACACACACACACACACCCCTCCAGCCCGAGCCCTTCCACGCCCACAGGAAGCCCAGGGACAGAGCCCCATGCTCGCTACCAGTGGGGGCGCAGGAGCCACACATGCCAGTCAGACAGGACCAGGTGCTCCACCCAAGCTGTGCCCACAACCAGCCCGGCTCTCCTCGCAGCCCGGCTCCTCAGCAATGAACCCTCCTGAGCCCGCCCTGCTCTCTTCCGAGGCGCAGCTCGGGTGGGGAGCTGCACGGCCCCCTCGGAGGAGGGAGCGAGGTTGCAGGTGATCCAGTGACATCCCGAGTCTCGCAGGAACCCTGGCACCCAATGGTGCTCATACATCCCTGGGGACTGGCTGGTTCCAAAAGAGTTTGTCCACCCCAGTGGTCGGCAAACTCATGAGTCAGCAGAGCCAACTATCAACAGCACAACAATTGACATTTCTTTGGAGAGCCACATTTTTTAAACTTAAACTCCTCTAGCGCCACTTCTTCAAAATAGACTCGCCCAGGCCGTGGTATTTTGTGGAAGAGTCACTCTCAAGGAGCCAAAGAGCCGCATGTGGCTCACGAGCCACAGTTTGCCGACCACAGGTCTACCCTGATCTGCCTCTCCCCTGCTCCCTGACCTGCCTCTTCCCACTGTGGGGCCCGGCCCTGTGCCAGCTGTCAGGCCAGGCCCAGGCGGGAGCCCAGGGCTTGTCTGCGGGGCCAGGAGGTGGGAGGCAGTGGCCATGGAGGGAGAGGGGTCAGAAAACCCCCTCTCGGTGGTGGGAGCCCCGGGCCCGGCAGGGGCACCGCCGATCTGGGAGGAGGCGAGACACACCATTCAGCGGGTCGGGTCGGTGGAAGAGATAAATCCCGGACACACAGCAGCAGTGACAGCAGCAACAGCGCGGAGACGTCCTAATTGTGTCCCGGGGCACAGGGAGCCGGAGAGGCGCCTCCGCCTGACAGCCAGCCAGGGAGCCAGCGAGAGGATTCCTCCCCCACCCCACAGCTGCGGTTACTACGGTGACTGCAGCCTTTGTCTGCAGGTTGTAAATTGTAATTGAAATGTGTTTTCAAGGTTGAAATAATAAGAGCTCCTCCTTGACTCCCCCTCACCTCTCCACAACTCACCCGCCCAGCACAGCCCTCCTGAGTCTCTCACACACACACACACACACACACACACACACACACACACACCCGTGACGCTCACACAGGATACAGACCAGCCAGACAGCCACCCAGATGCTTTCACATCTACACATATAGACTTACAGCACGCAAACCTGCATGCATCTGAGCACACCTGAACGCATGTCCATGTACACAATGTACAAATAAACACACAAAATATGTGTAACACTCCATTAGCATGACCTTCCTACAAGCATATGGTCATTCAGATTAACCCGCCCTCTTCACACCCCGCATGGCCTTTTCTCGGCCCGTGGAAGACAGAATCCTTACAAGCTGTCTACAAGGCCCACACCATCTGCACCCCCAACCCCCAATCTACCCGCTGCTCTCTCTTCAACTGCCGGGGCCTCCTCACTGCCCCCTCGCCTGCCAGGCATGAGCCTACCTGTGACTTCTGCCTGGCCCTGTCTCCCCGTCTCCACATGCCTCGCTCTCTCATGCCTTGAAGTCTTTGTTCAAGTGTCTCTTCTCGGTGAGGACGTCTGACCTCCTGGAAAGGAGCTGGTCCCCAGCACTCCCCGTCCCTTCCCAGAGGCCCCGGGCCTGCCCTCTCGGCCTCACTGTTAGCTCCTCCCTGGAGGCCCTTGGCTCTGACTCCTGGGAGGCCCGGTGCACCACCTGTCTGCACGGTCATACTGTCCCCCACCTGCAGGTCTGGCCCATCCCCACGCCCAGCACAGGGCTGGGCACACAGCCTCTTAGCAGACGCTGGTTGGACAAGCAAGAAGCAACAAGGAGGGGAAGGCCTGAGGGGAAGCCAATTCCAAACGTGGTCTGCCTTCCCTTCCCCTCAGGCTCCGTTGGGAATGTGGAGGTGGAAGGCCCTTCAGAGCCGCTGGAAGAGCCAGGAGGGCCCTGGAGCCAGGCAGCCTGGGTTCAAATCTCAGCTCTGCTACTTATTTCCGTGTGCCCTTGGGCAAGTCTTTAACTTCTCCATGCCTCAGTTTTCTTATCTGTGAAATGGCTGCTGTGAGGATTCAATGCGAAGTGCTGGAGCGGAGCTTGACAAGCGGTAAGTGCTGTACAAGCCTGCGCTGCCGCTGTTACTGTTAGCACCGGCTGGGTGATCGCACCGTCCACATCCCCAGCTGCCACGCAGCCGCCCTCCCACTCAGGCTCCTGGCCCCGGGAGCAGCGAGCAGTAAATTTCTCCTATTTCCTCATAAACCGGCCTTCCTCCCTCAGCCGTCACCTGGCTGGCAGTGCTGTCAGGAAGATGGATGCCGCATCTGCCCTGTTTACAGCTTTGCCTCCGAACCCTGCTCTGTGGCTCGCGGGGAGGAGGCGGGCGAGGAGGGGCAGGTGCTGCCTTCCACGGGCCTTGACAGCTGCAGAGCTGCCCGCTGGGTGACCCCAGCTCACCCAGCGCCAGGTGCGGTGGTCGCTGGGCATCTGCCACGCTTCCTGCAGAGGCTCTCAGGCTGTAAGCTTGAGGAAGAATGAGTGCCCACCCATTCCCTTCACCCTTACCCCTCGAGGCACATGGCCCTCTCCAGCTGCCGGCACCTGCCACTCTTCTGTCACAGGCCTGCAGCAGGTGGGGTACTGAGGAATCCCCCTCCAGGAGCTCCCAGGGATTGCTGGGAGTAGGACACCCCCACCCCCACCTCGCACCTCCGGGGAGACTGAGAGGCGGGCTCCTCTGTCCCAGAGCCCAAGGGTGTGGAGCTCCAGCTCTCAGCGGGGACCTGCCAGGCCCCCCTGCCTCTATGCTGCCTCCTTCCCCTCCCACACACACACACACACACACACACACACACACACACACACCGCTGCCTCTAGGCTGCCTCCCTCCCCTCCGTGTTTCCTGGGGTCCCCTATTTCTCCCCCCTGCCCCCAGTGAACTGCTCGCTCTCTAATCTGTCTCGGGGAAATGAGCTGAAGACAGCCTTGCAGCTTGGATTCTGTCTCCCCAGGGGGAGCACCCAGGACGAGGGTCCGCCCATCCTCTCAGCAGGGGCGCTGACAGGAGCACAGGGTGCCCTGGCTCTCTGGGGACCTCGGGCCGGGCAGGCAGGGCCTGGGCAGAGGCCGAATGCCGGCATCGAGGGACCAGGGTGGGGGGCCAACCGAGGCCGGCAGAATCCCGGAGGAGGTGAGGGGGCGGGTGGAGACACAGAGCTGGCTGAGGACAGGAGGGAGGGGGCCAGGGAGAGGAAAGGCAGCAGCTGGCTGACAGGTCACACAGCAGGGATGAGGCAGTCAGACCCAGATCTGGGGGTGAGCCCCCCTCTCCCCGCCCAGGTGCCTGGCCCAAAGTCAGCAGTCCATGGGCGTCACCCTGCTCCTCCTGCCAAAGGCATTCTCCCAAGGGCCAGCTCCTTGGGGGTGCCTCCAGCCCTGCCAATTCTCCAGCCGTCATGTTCACAATGCCTCAGTCTCCTCGCCGATAGCAGTGCAGCACTGGGGACAGCCTAGCCTCCCCCCCCCCCTCAGGATCCAGGATCCTCCACGTGGGTGATAATTACCCAACTGCCTGTGCATCCCACCTCTCACTCCTCTGTCAACAACAACCAGGTCATCAGCACCTCTCGTGGGCGTGGTGCTCAGCCAGCCTCTTCAGACACTCCCTCTCCAGCCCTCACGACTCCCACTGAGGCGGGTGTTCTCCTCGTTCTACTGACAACCTCCTGAGCTCGGAGACTCGGAGAGGTTCCATACCTCGTCCAAGGTCACACAGCAGGGAGGAGGCAGAGGCAGACCCAGACCTGGGGGCGAGCCCCCCTCACCCCGCCCAGGTGCCAGCACTCCATGGGCGTCACGCTGGTCCTCCTGCCAAAGGCATTCTCCCAAGGGACAAGCCGTGGGAAGCCAGCGCTGGGTCTCAGGGGGCCTCGGGCTCCATGCTCCTCCGCTCCGCACCTCACCCAGAGATGGACGGGCCCACCGCGCCTGACTGGGGGCCACGCAGGGTCTCTCTCCAGCTCTGCTGCGACTTCAGAGGCAGCGAGGACCCAGGTTCGCTGCCAGGTGCTGTCCTCCCGCCCCTCCCGCCACCCCTGCTCACCCGCTCCGGCTCCTTTGCTCACACCGCCCTCCAGCCTGCGGAGCACGCTGCCCTCCCTCCAGCACCCCTCCCTCGGAGCCGCCCACGCATGCTTCGCAGTAGAACGCCTGGGGCACCTTCTGAAGATCCCGGTGCCCCGGTTGCATCCAGTTCCCATTCAATCAGCTTGTCTGGGGGTGGGCGTCAGGCATCAGTCGTTTTAAAAGGTCCCCAGTGATTCCGGGAGAACAGGCTGGGGGAGCTCTGCTCCTACTCACGGCTCCCAGCCCTGAACATACACACCTCACCTGGAGAGCTTTTCAAACTACCAGGCCCAGTGGCGCCCCGGCTCAGGCAGCGGGTCCCGGCACGGTGTCCGAGCCCCAGGTGACTCCAATGCACAGCCAGGCTGGGAGCCACCGTGCAGTTCACACAGCGCCTCCACTAACCCTCCTCACTCCCCCAGACACCCTCGGGGCCGGCTCACCATCACCCCCATTTCTCAGACAGAAAAGCAAAGGCCCAGAGAAGCCACAGAGCTTGCCTCAGGCTCAGTGAAGACCTTCTTCCAAACCCTGTGACGCCGCCCAGACGCCGCCCAGACACCACCTCTGGCAGCCGGCCCGCTCTCCCCGTTTGCGAGTCCTGACCTGAGGACTGAGTCTGGACAGAGCCCACATGGACTGACCGAGGCCTTGTCACCACCTGCCCCTCCCAGACCAACAGGTGCCTCCAGCAAGCCCCTCGCCTGGGCAGGCCAGGCCAGCTACCCATCTGGCCCCAGGTCCAGTCCCACCCATCTCCATCCCGAGCACATCTGAGGACCTACAATCAGGGTGACCGTCGGGTCTTCCATCCCCACTCAGGCACTCCTGAGAATAAATTGGGATGCTCTCATACTTACACACACATAACACACACGTGCACGTGTGCGCACGCGCGCACACACACACACACACACACACACACATGCAGGATGCATGGTCACCCTGCCTGACTCCTGGCACCTCTGCCGTGACTGCTAGCGATGAAGCATTTGCTGTGCAGCCTTGGACACGGTGCTGGGCTGGCTGACTCCATGTTCTCCTCCATGACACGGGCATCACAAAAGTCCCTAGAGCTACTGTGAGGGTGAAATGAGATCGTGTCTTTACAGTTCCAAAACAGCAGGTACACTGTGGAGTGGTGTACATGATTATCAGCCCACGAGGAACACAAGCAGCCACATGCCTCTTCTCCCTCAGACATACCGACTCCTGCACACACAGTCTCACAGTCACACACACACACACACACACACACACACACACACACAGAGTCACACACACACACACAGTCACACACACACACACACACACACACACACACACCCTGCCACCTCCACCCGCATAGGAACCTGCCCGGAGCCCTAGGAGATATCCAGTCCTAAGTGGCCACGATTCCCAGTGAGCCTGGCCACCAGAGGGCAGCACGTGTGCCTCCACTGCCTAGGATCCACGCATGTCCTGGGCCTGTCCTGCGGCTCCTTGGTCCCCTGGCCCCTCCCAGCCGCACCAGCAGTCCAGGAGGAGAGGGGAGGGAGTCCGCCTTGCTTGCACAGGCACCTCTCAGGGAGGGCACCCGGCCCTCCAGCGCCACTGTGCCCAGGTCCCGCTGCCCAGCTGCCCAGACCAGGAGCACCCAGGACCCACATCCACACCATGAGGGCAACCCAGGGGCTGAGGCCTCGAGCTCACAGCTGCATTCAAATCCTGCTCTGCCACCTCTGCCTGGGAAACAGCCTGGGAAATGGACCGTTGTCCTGTCCGGCCCGGTTCACTCTGTCCTGCAGTATCCACTGTGTCCTGTCCGGCCCGGTTCACTCTGTCCTGAGTCCTCAGGACCTGCCCATGCGTTACCTTTGCTGGGAGGTGTCCTTTTCTTGTTTTTTGTTTCTACTGCACGTTCTCCTCTGACAGTTTTTATTTACTTCCTGATCTTGTTGACGGTCCATCTCCCCATTGGATTAGAAACGCCAAGAGATTTCTGACTCTTGTTTAATGCTCTATCCACCTGCTTAGAACAGCGCCAGGCACTCCTGGGGGTCCGGCCGGAGCCCACAGGGCAGCTGGAACCGGTTCAGTTCTGCGGGCTCCAGATGAACCCCAAGGCAACCATAGACCCGAGGACTAGGAGCCCCTTCCCCCACTCAGCAGTGTCACGGGTGGCTTGTCTGGGAGAGACCACAGAGGTTTCTACCACCCAAGCCCTTAACCTTCTGGGATCTAACCCTAAATTAGCTCGGCCCCTCCCCCTATGGTCCCGCCCCTTGGACACCCCACCTCTCCTCCCAGGTGCCAGCCCATCTTCACACCCAGTGGCCTGGACCCCCGGAGCCTCTGCCCTGCAGTATGTGCCCCTGGCTGGGCACTAGCAGCCTCTCCCGCTCAGCACCCCCTTCGGGATCTGGGCCCCACTCCCTAAAGCCCCCGGGTCCCAGGCCCCCGCACTCACTGGTGCACTTCTTGACGTGGCTGCCCCTCTTGAGCGCGTGGCGGCTCAGCTTGCAGTGGAAGTTGTCCTCCCAGAACTCGGCAAACCAGATGTTGCGCCGGTTGTTGTCCAGCGTGCGGCTGGAGAAGTAGCGGTCGAAGCCTGGGGGGAACCAGGAGGTCAGGCCCGGGGAGCCGCCTCCTCCACCGCCCCCCCGCCCCCCCACACACCCTCCCGCTCCCCCGCTTAGAGACGGCCGGGCGGAGGGCGGGCGGGTGGGCGGGCAGAGCCGGGCCAGGTGGAAAAAACAAAACGTGGAGCATTTCATTCCGCTCTAAATGGAAAGCGCTTATGGAGCCCCAGGGGGAGCGTGTGTGATCTTACAGGCGCGCCTTTACGGGAGCGCAGTGCGAGGGGCGCTCCCCGCCTTCTCCCTGCCGGCCTGTGTGAGGAGCCGCTGCCGGCCCTGAGGCTGGAGCAGAGAGGCTGGGGGGGACCTGGAAACACCTGGCTCTCTGGTTCTGAGGAGGAGCCCACACCAGAGAGGCTGGGTGACCCGGTCACAGCAAGGCCAGCAGCTGGTCTCCCTTCAGGTCCAGAGCTGGTGTCGCTGACCATGCAGCCTCCTCCTTCTCCTCATGCACCCGGGAGCTCCCAGCTCTGCTCTGAGCCCAGAAACCCCGCCCCGGTGGCAGGTGGCGGTGAGCGACGCCCTCCCCCCAACGTCCCTTCCACGTCGGTGACTGTTCCGTGCAATGCGCACAGCTGGCTCCGCTGCCTGGGAGAGGCCGGAGGCTGAGAGCTCCAGGGGCCCCACCCAGTGGGGAGCTTCCGGGTGGCAGGCCCAGGGGGCCCAAGGGCCTGGTCACAGGGGCTGCTGCCAGAGTGGGCGCTGGCTTGAGCAGGGTGCTCCACGTGGTGCTGGGACGCTCAGTGCCCTACAGCTGTTGGACTACACTCTGGCCTCTACCCGCCGGGTGCCAGGGCACCACCCCCCCCCTCCCGCCACTGTGACAAGCACACTGTCTCCAGACATCGCCCAATGTCCTCGGGGCCAAGGCACCGCACGTGAGAGCCACTGCCCTGAAGGCTCTGTAACGTCCAGAGAGAAAGGGGGCGTGTCAGGCCAGTCCTGGGCTCACTCTGCTCTACCACGTGACAGCCACGGATGTCACCTAAGCTCTCCGGGCCTCAGGCCTCCACCCACAGGAGGCTGGGGGGGATGGGAGACCAGCCGGGAGTCTGTGAGCCCGGCACTGCAGACACCAATAGCCACGGCCATGTTGTTGTGTGTCACTAAGGTTTGGGCTGGGAGGGGGTGGGGGGGGGAATGGCTGCCTGCGCTCCCGCCGCCTCGGGAGGATAGAGGGCACGGCTCTGTGAGCTTGAGCAGGACCCTCCCCAGCTCAGGCTCGGTCTCCGGGTGAGTTTGGTGGAGGCAGATGTCCGCAGGCCTTTCCGCCAAACGGAGCCAGAGCAGAGGAGAAGGCCCGGAAGCCTGCCGCCCGGGGGAGGACAGCGAGGTCCCCGCACACCAGGCGGTTAACAGGAACGCCACACCCCGCCACCGCGAGTGGCCACGGCCGCTGCTCCCGCCCGGGGACCAGGAGGAAGGATGCCGAGCAGGGTGGGGCCCCACCCCGGTACCACTGAGGACCTGCCACCCCGGCAGGTGGCAGGGCGTTCCTGCCCTCCCCGCACCCTCTCCGTGGGGCCTGCGGGCAGCTCCGGGCCCTGCCAGCAGAGAGCCCCTCAGGCAGGGCAGGGCCTGTTCCAGGCGGAAAAGGGGTGGAGTATCCCGGATGAAGGCGAGAGCCTGACAAATGAGCCTCTGTGGGCCACACGTCTCCCGCGGCCAAAGATATCTGAGCAGGGAGAGGAAGGCCCTGGAGCTCCATGGAGGGCCTGAGGGAGCCCAGAAAGGCCAGCCCGGGACAGAGGGCTGCGGGCCAGGAAGAGGGTGGGCAGGAGGGGAGGGTGAGGAGTGGAGAGGGTGGGCAGGAGGGGAGGATGAGGAGTGGGAGAGGGAGGGCTGGACGGGAGGGTGAGGAGTGGGAGAGGGAGGGCAGGACGGGAGGGTGAGGAGTGGGAGAGGGAGGGCAGGAAGGAGGGTGAGGAGCGGGAGAGGGAGGGCAGGAAGGAGGGTGAGGAGCAGGAGAGAGTGGGCAGGACGGGAGGGTGAGGGGTGGGAGAGGGAGGGGGCGAGGAGGAGGCACAGTGAGGGGCATGTTGGTGGCTGCGGCGGCAGAGGGGCCTGCTGGCCTACCTCGCACGGACATCCTCTTGGGGAGCACGGTGACGGCGCCCTCGGCCACCTCCTCCAGGTGCAGCACGGGGGCGATCTTGGAGCCCCAGCTGTCCGAGCCCATCCAGAAGAAGTGTCCCGTCTGGTTGGCCTTCCGAGCTGCCTCCAGCACACGCCTGTGGACACACACACCAGCTCGGCCCGGCCATGTCTGTCCACGCCGTCCCCACCCTGGCCGCTGGCTGTCCCCCCCCCCCCCCCGAGGCACACACCTGGCCCCTCACAGCACAGCCCATGATGTCCCCAGGCTATGCCTGGACTCCCGCCCCCTCCACCACGGACCACAGGAGCCCAGGGCCCCAGCTGCCCCAGCACCGTGCTTTCCCCTAGACCCTAGTTCCCTCCGCCACTGGCCCACACTGCCCACAGGTACCCCTCTCACTGTCCCACACAGGTACCCCCAGACCTGGCCTCTCCCCTCAGCCCACGCCTGCCTACAGGCCCCATGTGCTCCCCAGTCCCACTCCTGTCCCCCAGGGCCGACCTGTCCCTGCAAATCCAGGCTGTGCCTGCCCCGTGTCTGACCCAGGCGCCCAGGCCTACATCAGCCCAACCCCTGTCCTCTCAGGTTCCAGCCACCCACAACCGCTTGACCGCTTCACACATTTCCATGCACACACATGCACATACATGCACACGTATGCACACGCATGCACACAGGCATACATGCACAGGCATGCACACATACACCCCTCTGCACCTGCTGCTCCCCTGCCAGCAGTGGCCCATCACCCCCTCCTTCTGTGCCAGAGTCCAGGTCCTGCACAGAGCTGCTCTCTCTGCCCACCCCCCTGCCCTGCCCTGGCAGTGGTTTTAATCAAGTCAGGGTCCCCGAACCCAGCACAGGGTGGAGACCCCGTCTAAGTGGCCCCTGAAACACCTGTTCCAGGAGAAGAACAGGGAGGCCGGGAGGAGTCCCCCAACCAGCTCCTCCACTGGAGCTCAGAGGAGGCAAGCACCTCGCTCCAGATCACACAGCAAGTCAGGGGCCAGGATGCCAGGCACTGGCCAGGCCCCTCACGGGTGAGAGCCAGGCCCAGCCCCAGGCTTGGGTGCTGCTGGGCCTGTACTGGGCGACCTCCTGGGAAGGACAGCTGGGGAGAAACCTGTCTCCAGGCCCCAGAGCCCACGCCTTCCCTCCTCCCAGCCCCTGATGTGCACATGTGCAGACCCCAAGCCCGCTGCTGCTGCTCGGGTCATTAGCACCCGCGCGCAGCCTGCCAGCCAGAATGGCCGACTTCCGCCCTGCAAAGTCACCTGGGTTTATTTTTACTGCTGTTTGCTTTTAGAAATGCAGGCCCCCTCCCTCCACACGTCCCCTCCCCCAGGGCCTCTCTGGGGTACAGAGCACAGCGCCCTCCCCCGCCCTCCAGCCCTGGCCCATCGGAGCTGAGAGGAGGCAGAGGCCTCCCAGCGGCTGTGAGCCCAGGCTAGGGCGGGGCTGCGGGGCGGAAGTGGGAGGCAGGAGCGCAGGGGCCGTGACTGAGGTGAGGACAAGGAGCTCAGGCGGGGTCCCCCCATCCCCCCACCCCGTCCCTGCCCCCAGACTGGCTGACCGAGGGCAACAGGAACGGCCAGAGCCAGAACTAAGGAGCCTGCGCGCTTTGAGGGTCATGAGCAAGCTCTGTGCCCACTCAGAGGCGCCGGGGGGCCTGGGAACCCCGGGCCTTCACCGCCAGAGGTGCCTCCCGGGATGTCCTTCGTTCTGAGGCCTGAATGCTGTTCCAGAACTTAGGGACCCGGCATGTCTCCGGGGGATCTGCTGCCTGTCATTCAGGCCAGTGGGCTCCTCACCACGTGGGGAAGCATTGCAAAGAATGGCCCAGAGAGGACGCTTGTTAGCAGTGGGGAGTGGGGGAGGGAGGAGAGGGGCCTGTAGGCAGGGGAGCCTGCCACACAGCAGCTCAGCCAGCTCCCTAGGGCAGGGCCTGGGGGGGCCCAGGGCTGCTGTCCCACCCGCGTCTGCACATGCAGGGGTGCCTCCCCCACCGGACTCTGAGCCGGGGCTATGGCCTCCCTCTGACGGGGCTCCCCCAGGGCAGGGCTGTGTCTCCCTCAGACTGGCGGTCACAGAGGCCTGGCCCATCTTGGCCCTGAGGTCCAGTCCCTGAGAGGTGGTAACAGGAAGGAGGGAAGGAGGTTAGAAGGGGTTCGGGGTCCTCTTTTAAAGGCACCGAGTTCTGGACCTGCGCCTGGGGCACAGGCAGGTGTGCAAGCCGTGAGCTGGCCCAGGATTGCTGCACTGGGTGGTCCTGGCCCCTGGAGCCCACCTGCTCCCATTCTCCAGATGCAAAAACTGAGGCCCAGGGAGGGGAACAATACTGCCCACAGTGAGTGTCCCCAAGCCAGGACTAGAACCACAGCCAGGCCTTTCCCCGCTACCCTGAGCTCACCACGAAAGGAGGGAGGAGCTGAGAAGTGGCCACAGCATTAGGCACCTGCTCCGTGCCAGGCCACGCTAAGCCCTTTGTGCCATCCCCACCAGGCAGACATCCTTAGGCCCCTCTTCCTAAGCAGAAAAGAGGCCCAGAGGCTGGAAACCTCGCCTGGGGGCTCAGAGCCCGCAGGAGCGAGAGCAGGTTAGCACCGAGGTGCTCTGGCCCTAACCCCAGGGCCACAGCCCCTCCGTCACAGAACCTGCCTCCCAGCCCTGGCGGGTAGAACGGACAGGACACGGGGACAGGAGAACAGGGCGCCCTCTAGCACTAGCCTGTGGCCTGAGGGGCGTCCCAGCCCCACATCACTCACCACCCTGCCCTCTGGACCCGCCCTGGCTCAGCCTGTGTGGGAAGGTCACAGCAGGGCTCCCGGGCTCCCACCCGCCCCACTGCCCCTCACCTGATGTCGTCCTCGTTGGCGAAGATGACGACGCCCCTGGCGTTGGAGGTCTCCAGGAGGCGCCGGATGATCTTGTCAAACTCCCCGGACTTGGGCTCCCGCGGAATCTTCACCGACTGGGCGATGCACACGCCGCCTGCGGGGGGGGGGGGGGGGGGGGGGGGGGGGGGGTGGCCGTCAGCAGGGGCGGACAGGGGAGCTGGGTCTCTCCCCCTCTCCCCAACTCACACTCCCTCCAGAACCAGGTGGGAGCGCCCACGTTCCAATACCCACCAGCTGGGTGACCCTGACCTGTCACCTACATCCTCTGTGCCTCAGTTTCCCCATCGTAAAGTAGGCAAGAGGCAATGCGGCTTTGTGTTTAGGAGCTAGTCTGCCTGGGTTCTGGGCTCTGCTGCTTACTAACTACTGTGTGACCTGAGGGCGTTACCGAACCTCTCTGTGCCTCAAACACGTCGTCTGCAAAGTGAAGACAATAACACCACTACTTCACAGGGTTGTTGTAAGGCTGAGCTAATGCGTGTAAATAGAATCGTATCTGGCACAGAGTACGTGCTGAGTAGGCGCTGGCTGCTCTGTTGGAACCACACCGAAAGGGCTTTTAGGAGAGAATCTGGGAATGAAGCAAAGCACCCCCCACACCCACACCCACTTCTCAGCCTCTGTCCCAGGCCTGTGCCCACCAGCAGCCCCGGGAAAGCAGTGTGCAAGGCCGCTGGCTGGTGCCACACCGGGCAGCGCTGCCGAAAACCCAGCTCCGTGTCCTCCAGGCCCCAGGCCCTTTCTGGGCGCTCACGGCCCTGCTCGGCCTCCACCTCCGGCCTGGCCGGTGCCTGGACACACAGCCTCCCTCCCCATCCCGCCTCTATGAGCCTGGGACAGCGTGCAGGGCGGTGCTGCAGGGGGGGTGCTGCACAGACAGGGGGTGACTGGGGTCAGGGGTCTTTGGGAGCCTCCTGTCACTCTGCCCCATGGCCTGCCGGGCTGGGACCGGGGAAGGAACCAGGGCCACCTGCCTCTTGCTCACTCCTCTGCAGAAGCCGGAACACCCAGGCTGGCGGCTCACAGGAACCCCGGGAGCCTGTGCCCCTCACCCAGCCGGTTCCCAGCCCAGACTGCCCCAGCGTGGCAGGATGGGTATTACCCACGCATTTAAATCCCCAATGTCCTCATACAAAAGCACTGTGGACTGTGTTTCTGTCATCAACCGCATTTGACAGATGAGGAAACAGGCTCAGAGAAGAGAAGCAGCTGGCTCAAAGCTACAGAGTCCCCCTTCCCCTCTCTCCACTCCCCAGGCTGGGGTACAGAGGGGTTTCCCCTCCAGGGAATAAGACCCCCAGGCCTCGGGGCAGAGTCAGGCTCCGTTGATGGAAAAGCGTGAGGGATTGTTCTGAACGAAGCCAGGCCCTTTACTAAGACCATCACCACCTCTGAGCCCCCTCAGGGGTCCCGGCCCAGCTCCACCCCAAACAGGAATCTTGGGGGCCCAGCCAGTGCCTCAGGCCATCCACGTGGCTGGGCGCCCCAGTCCAGGTGGGGCAACCGGAGGCCTCGGCACAGGCTCCTGCACCTGTGTGCCCAGGCCTGGGCAGCCAGAGGCTCCCTGTGCCGGGGACACCCACCTGACGCCCCAGGGAAAGGTGCCAACACCCAGCTCCACCCAAGAAGAGAGTCTACCCACGGGCAGAGGTGGTAACCAGGGGAGGCTGCCCAGCGGCGGTGACCCTGAGCTGAGGAGGCGTAAGCAGCCAGGCGGGGGCACCTTGGAGAGAAGAAGAAACAGGGAGTAGAGGGGGCAGCTCTGCAGTAGGTGCCCACCGGGCCTGGGCCCATACCACACACACTGTCACACCCTTGCCCCCAGGAAGGGCACCCTGCCCCTCTGCAGCAAGCAAGCAGCCACGCCTCTGCCCCACCTGCCTAGCACCCACCTCCCTTTGTGCCTCCCAGGCAGACAAGTCCCTCCTTCTCTCCTCAGACCCCGAAGAGCTCCATCGCCATGTCAGGAGCTCCTGGGGAGGGAGGAGAGAAGGAAAGAGGGTCCTTGGCAGGCCCGCGCCCTCAGTCCTGGGCACAGGGAGAGCCGCAGGGCGGGCCGCTGCCCACAGCGCTGCCCGGCGCTAATGCAGCCAGGCGGACGCAGCTCCGGCTAAGCCTCCATATGGTGGCTTTGCAGTCAGAAAGTGGGCCAACTGCAACAGTTCTGCCCCATCTGGGGAAACAGATGGACGAGAGGGGGAGGCTGGGGGGGGGGGGGGGGAGCCACCTGGCTGCGGGAGGGAGGGGCCAGGCCCCGGGGAGGGAGGCAGGATGGAGTCAAATGTTCCCATCAGGGAGAAACTCTCTGGGCAGTGCCCCTGCGAGAGGTCCCGGAAGCCCCGCCTGCCACCCGGGCGTGTCTCGCCGGCTTCGTTTTGCTGGTGAAGGAAGAACTAGGCGACCACAGCTCTGTCAGCGAGAATGTGCATCACAGGCACTTGAGATGAGAGCATGGCCTGAGCTACCAGGCGAGGGGGTCAAGGGGCTGGGGAGTCGGGGGTCGCGGGGGAGCTGGAGGGGAGTTTGGGGGGGTATGCAGAGCTCAGTGAACTATGGAGCGTCCAACCTACATTGAATATTCCTCTGCAGATGTTACATTACTCCTCTGAGGGCGGCATCGTCAGCGTAGCTCCAATATACAGATGAGGAAACTGAGGCCCAGAGAGGCTCAGCGGCTTCCCCGAGGTCACACACAGTCACAGGTAGAGCAGGGGTTGGTGACAGGCCGCCTGACTCCCTCAGCCGCCCCTTCAGCCTGTCCCCTGTGTCGTGACCAAGGCCACGCACGTGGGGAAGGGGTTGGGGTGTGGAGTCAGGGGGACACCTGGGACCGTGAGCCTGGGCGTGTCTGGGCACAGCACCTGCCTGGGCTGAGAGGCCCAGTGCCAAGGGGGCCCCTTTGCATTGCTGCCCAATTGTCAGCACGGCTGCTCAGGGGACCCCAGAGCCGGCACACGGGGCTGGCTCTTCCCTGGGGTGACACAGCTCCCAGAGTGGGTGGCCCAACATCTGCCTCAGCTGCCCTCCTGGCCCCCGTCCACAGCCAGAGAGGCCTGGAGTGGCCCGGAGGCCCCCACTGCCTGCTGGCGCTCCCTGAATCCTCGCACACCCAGGGCAGGTGCTAACAGCCCCATCCTACAGAGGCTCAGAGGAACTCAGGCGCCTGGCAGCTCACACAGCGGGCCGGGGGCCTGCATCCAGTCTGTGCAGAGCCCCAGGGGAAGGGAAGCCTGGGCCACGGGCTCTGCTAACCTCCGTCTCCTACAGCGCCTCCCCAGCCCTGAAAGACCGAGGCACACACCCGCCCACCAGCCTCCTGTCAGCCCCCGCAGCGTGCTCCATCACCATGGAGACCGTGGCCAACACCCTCAGCACCCTCTCCCAACCTCTGCACCAAGGAGGGGCTTCTCCACAGCCTTCTCCCCGCTCCTGGTCTCCCGTTGGGGAAAGTAAGAATCTGTGAGTCCAGTGGATAGTAAATGTGATAGTAAATGTGGTCACATCAAACCCAAGCCCACTCCCTGCTCCGGGCAGGGCTGGGACCCTCCCCCGTCCCGGCTCAGCACAGGATCACAGGAGGGGGGCAGGGAGGAGTCTGGGTTCCCATCGCCTCTAGCGATCCCCCTTGGCAAGCCCCTCACGCTACACGCCAGGCACCCAGCCCCCTGGCGAGCACCCAGCTGCCATGTGCCAGCTTCAAGCTGCTGCCCGCCAAGCCAGTGCTCCCATTCAGGGCCAGGCAGGAAGCCACAGCCACCTGCCGAGAACAGCTGAGCACACGGCGGTGGCAGGGACCTCAGAGTCCGCCTGGCCCACGCTGGACTTGGAGGGAGGAGCCTGAGGCCAGAGAAGGGCAGTGCCCACTCCAGGGGAGGCTCTCACCAGGCCCCGGGGTCCGCATCCAGGCCAGCCCTCTGACTGCTTCCCACCTGCTGGTCACTGTTACTGAGCCACAGGACTGAGCCCGCAGTGAGGGGGGCACCCCGTATCTCCCAGGCCCCACTCCCCTCTCCCAGCTCCCCGACTCCCACCCCACCCTCTCCCAGCCCGGCAGTGAGTGCCCAGCCCGCCCAGCCCGCCCAGCGCCATGGCCTGAGCCCGCCCTGGCTCCACATCTTCTCTCACCCGGTGCCGCCCCACCGGTCAACACTGACTTCTCCTCGGCCCCACCCCTCGAGGCCCTGCCTCTGCCACCAGGAAGCTGGACGGTGTGACGGACGGACAAGTGTCACCAGAAGGCTGACCGCGGGGTGACGTTCTGTGAAGCTGAGAATGCCGAGTGCCCGCAGCCGGCACGCCCTCCCACGCCAGCCCAGAGAAACGCCCCGGGGCGTGAGGACGGTGCAGGCAGCGCCCGCAACACGGGCAACAGCAGATGGAGGCAGCAGCACGGGCAGCTGCGGTGCGGACACCGGCTGTGCGGGGGCCGGGTAATAAGGCAGCTCTCAGCGGGACCACGTCCTGAAAACGAAGTTGCCTGAAGAGCCAGCTGCAGCAGGATCCGTCCCTTCCTGCAGTCTGAGGACACGCCCCGAGATCTGCCTGTGGCCTCGCACACAGATGGGCGGGAGCTACGTGAAGGCAGGAGATTTGGGCTGTTGGGGTCGTTGCCACCTCCCCACTGCTCAGCAAATGCCCCAAGTGGCTGACGAGGACCAGAGGGACCCGCCCCTTCAGGGTCATGGTTACTCAGGAAGCAAAGGACAGGACAGGGCTCCACAGGGATAGGGCTTCCAGGAATCCATGTTTTATTTCTTCAAACAAAAGTCAGAAGCAAATACGACAAAATGTAAATGCTCGGTAAGGCGGCTCCAGGACCCAGCCGGACACGGCTCTCGGACACGAGTGACCATGAAGGTGTCCCCGGCCTCACGTGTGCTGCCGGATGGAGAACCCACAGGTCCTCCCTTCGTCCCTTCACGACCTGGGCCCCTCGGCTACTCCTGGCCTCGTGGCATCCGAAGTGCCCGGGACGGGAGCCGGGGCCTGCCAGGAGCTGCTCTATCCTGCCAGCCGATTGGTTCCTGAAATCCTACTTCCCTGAGGGAGGCTCCGACCTGGCCAGCCCCCAGGGCACTGCCCCCAGGCTCCAGC